TGGTTAGGTACTGACGCTGCCTTACGCAAGGAAAAACGCCTGCTTCAAAATTTTTCTTTTTCCTATAAAAGTTGGGTTGAAGCTTTTAACTACTTTTAATTTTTTTTCTTCTGAATTACTTTTCATCAATCAACTTTTCAGAATAAAGGAATTTTTCGCGATGGAATGCTATATTATTTTATTCATTAAATTTTGTAGGACGTACCAGACGTATTCTACCTTCAAGGTAGCCTTCGTCAGAATATTCTGCTAACAGAGAGGACAAATCGGGGAAATTTTCAAAAGATGACATTGACTAGTTTTTCTAAGAAAAAACAAAATATGACAGGAAGTCTGCAACGTGGCGAACAGGTTTAAGGAGGTTTCGCTCCTTGGCCATCGAACCATCGATACACCACTGGCTAAAGTTCGAAAGTACGTGTCTCCATAAAGGTTTTTCAAATTTTCCGCTCCAATTTAATTTTTTCGAAGAAAAACAAGTCAAGTATATAGTTTGTAATTCTTACGGAGTATTCTATCAGCAGAGAAAGGAAGCTCTCGAGAATCTAAGTTGACTAGTTTTCCAAAGAAAAAATCAAGTAGGACCGGAAGTCTGCAACGTCGCAACGGAGATACGGGGTTTCGTACTTCAGCTATCGATATACGATATTTTCTTAGCCGGTGACGCGGCGCACAGTGGATCGAGTCACCGGGAGAGGGCAGACTTGATTTGTTTAGTAAAACTGAACATTTTGATGTTTATTTCATCAAATTTAAAATAACAAGGGGCGTGACTTGGGAAAAATTTTACCAGAAAACCAATGGAACCGCTTATAAAACCTGAGCGTTTGTATTAACGGAGTTAAAAGGTTTTAAAGTCTCTACATTTTGTTCGATTTCCATTAAGGTGATTCGATGGACGCCATATTTTGTTTTGAAACGCCATGCGATATATCGCATTGATTAGTTCCATTTTTCAGCTACTTATTATTTTACTCAAATTTTGAGATCGCATTTCTGTTGGTGCAAGACGAAAGAGTTCACGTACCTACCAAATTTGACAAAGAAATTCTAGGTAGTAAAGGCTAGAGTACCTGTATAGCTATATGTACAGGTACTCTAGTATAAAGGTAGGATTTTTTTAGAGGAAAAATATCACATTTGAACGCAGCTTCGATATTAGTGTCGAATGCGATAATTTTCCTTTAAAAAAAATTCCCTACCTTCATTACGTTGAATTTCTATGTCAAATTCAGTAAGTGAATTCTTTAGTCTTGTGACTACAGACATGCGATCTCAAAATTCGAGAGACATGACAAGTATCTGAAAAATGGAACTAATCAATGCGATATCGACGGCGCAAGTCCGCAATCACATATCGTCGGTGAAACTACCAAACCACGTATCTCGGTTTGCGACGTCGCAGACTTCCTGTCATACTTTATTTTTTAAATGAGAAACTACTTAACATCCAGTCTTGAAAATTTCTGTGATTTTTCCTCTTTGTGCGGAGAAAATTCCGTGAAAATTTCAAGGAATGATATTGATTTGGTCTACTTCAAAAAAATAAAAAGTGAGCGTAGATTTTTAAACACCGCAAACGAGATACGTGGTTTGGTAGTTTCACCATCGATATCTCGTTTGCGGTGTCTGAAAATCTCCGCCTCCAAGTTATCATTTAAAGGAGAACAAATTGACGTCATTCCCTGAAGTTTGTGCGGAATTTTCTTCGCACAGAGAAGAAAAATCACGGCAGTTTTAAAGAATTGCCGTTGAGTAGTTTTCTGTTAAAAAAATAAAGTATGATACGAAGTCTGCGACGTCGCAAACCGAGTTATATGTGATTGCCGACGCACACCGTCGATTCGCACGTCGTTCTGACCAGGGTGGCATGAAACGCAAGAAAGGAATGAAAGATTGGAAATGTCAGTGAAATATTTCATGAAATCTCACGAGGCTGTGAAATATTTCATATTTTTCAGGGACTAGGGTATGCAACCCGCACTGAACCACACAAAAATAGCAATAAAGGTCACGATTTGTACAATTTGCGAACATGAAAATTCACCCGTCTTTTTTCAATATCTTTCATAAATTTCTGAAATTTCATGAAATATTTCACGTGAGATTTCAAGATTTTATTTTCCATAAAATTTTGCCACCCTGGTTCTGACACGAAATACGGCGTCCATCGAATCACCTTAACTTGTTCCACTGTGCGGCGGGTCTCGGTGAGTCCTGGCCTGCGGGGGTAGGATAGTGCGCGGCTCTCATGGAGAGGGTGGTTCCGGGTTGGGTCGACTAGTTGCAGGTTGTTGACTCTTTGTGGAGTGGTTATTGACTTAATTGTAATTTTGATGTGGGAACATTGGGTATCTTGCCTCAACAGAGGAGACATTGGCGGTTGCGCGGCGACCGTATAGCGAGTGCGTCCTCCAACCTCGGAACCCACATGAACCCGTGCGCCTTGAGGCTCACGCTGGAGTGCACTTGGACTGCGGCGGAGGCGCAGTTGCAGCTCAAGAAGGCGCAGTGCTCCTTCAGCCACTTCAGCCGCTTCAACGGGTGTCAATTAAGATAACGCTTCTCTCACAGCGTTGCCGGCAAAGTGCTCCCACTGGGGTGATCCGGGTAAAAATTTCCCGTCTCGGATTTTGAGAGAGGATTTTTTCCCCCCTAGTGGAAATTCTGAGAGGACGCCCTGCCAAATCGTGGATTGAGGGAATAAGACGGGAAATGAGGAGATGCGATCTGCCGGAAGAGCTTTGGCAGGATCGCTATCAGTGGCAGTTGGGTGTCGCAGAGTGCATAGAAGCGCTATAAGAGTGACTTAGTAGTACACGGAGAAAAAAAACTTCGTGCGTGGGACCCGAAGTTTAGGCCATATGGATCTCTGAAGTTTTAGGATTGAGCATCTGAACACTTTAGGTCTAGCTGTCGAGGTTCGAATCACGCATCTGAAACTTCAGTTCATACATCTGAAGTACTTCGGTTTTCACATCCGAAAAACTTCAGTTCTCACATCTGAAGCACATCAGATGTAAGAACTGAAGTTTCAGATGCGTGATCCGAACCTCGACCGCTAGACCTAAAGTGCTCAGATGCTCATTTCGAAAACTTCAGAGATCCATATGACCTAAACTTCGGGTCCTACGCACGAGTCTTTTTTCTCCGTGTAGTAGTGAAATTCTGGGAGATAGGGAACAAGAATAGATCTGAGAAAAATGCAGGATCGATCCGTTAATTTAAAGTCCAATTCACACTACCAACCTTTTCATTCAACTCTTGAATGCAACCTCTCGATCATCGACAATTTTTCGATCATCTAAACAACACTTTAGTTTAGGTGACAAAATTTTTTGTCCGTAATACTGAAACTCGTATTCTCTACTTAAGACCTCCGCGAGCTGAGTATTGAAATTGGCAGGCAAAGCGATAGATATTAAGGTGATTCGATGGATGCCATATTTTGTGTCAGAACGGCATGCGATATATCGCATCAATTGGTTCCATTGTTTCAGCTACTCGTCATTTTTCTCCAATTTTGAGATCGCAATTCTGTTGTCAGGAGACTAAAGCACTCGCGTACGAATTTTAACAAAGAAATTCAACGTAATAAAGGCGTGGTTTTTTTAGAGATAAAATATCGCATTCGAGTGCAGTTTCGATATCAGTATCGAATGCGACGTTTTCTCTCTGAAAAATCACGCCTTTACTACGTTGAATTTCTTTGTTAAAATTGGTAAGTGAGTGCTTTAGTCTCCTGACAACAGAGTTGCGATCTCAAAATTGGAGAAAAATGACGAGTAGCTGAAAAAATGGAACCAATTGTTGCGATATATCGCATGCCGTTCTGACATAAAATATGGCGTCCATCGAATCACCTTAAAGGATAAAAATGGAAAATTGATAAATGTTATTGTTGGCAGCGGGTGGTTGCAATGGACAAAGGAAATAAGTAATAGACTAGCTAACGGCAACCCACGAGACACCCTATGGTCAGTCCATCATCCCCCCTCCCCTCTTAGTCTATGAACCACCCATTTCAACCAAAAGGATCACTCCATTTCCCCTTTTCTTTTCCATTGGTATGTCTATCAATACAATATTCAGCCCGCAGTTTATGGAATGGACAACTTTGATTTCCCTTGTACACCGCATGCAGCAGTTGTTTTTTTTACACAAGGATAAAGCAGAAACATGACAACCGCGGACACATTCTGCTGAGCCCACGGGTCGAAAAACTTTTTTGTCAATTTTTTTATCCCCTGCGAGCTCCGGAGAAACAAACTTAAAAGTGAGATTTTCTTTGTCTTACTCCCATGTTGAGGAGTTAGCGCCGAACATCACGCGAGATTTTCTCGAGCTATAAATACTGCTTTTATCTGAGCAGCTTAAAGCTTTACAAGTTCTCTTTATGGCTTTCTCGAGCGTCGTGGTTTTTGGTGGGATTTCGGTCGCCAAAGCCGCGTCTCATATTTTGTT